TTATTTATTTATTTATTTATTTATTTATTTATTTATTTATTTATCTACTGTATCTTTAGTTACAGTAAAGCAAGTCAGTGCCAGCTGAATCCTGTTTTGACTGTTTTGACTTGAATCCTGTTGCCGCAGATAGGGGCCGTTTATTTGTTACTGCAGGGGCGCGCTGCAGCAGGGGCCAATATTTGCTGCTGCTGCTGCTTTGCTGCTGCAGGGGCGCGCTGCAGCAGGGGCCAGTATTTCCTGCTGCTGCTGCTTTGCTGCTGCAGGGGCGCGCTGCAGCAGGGGCCAGTATTTCCTGCTGCTGCTGCTCTGCTGCTGCAGGGGCGCGCTGCAGCAGTGGCCAGTATTTGCTGCTGCTGCTGCTGCTGCTGCTGCTTAGCTGCTGCAGGGGCCAGTTTATGTAGTGGTGTTGCGTGGGCCGGTTCATTCACCGCTGTTGCAGGGGTGGAGGTATGCTGCAGGGGCAGGATTTTTGCATGTTTTTTTTCCTTTTGCGACGTCAGATGACTTCGGAGGTCAAATCCAATGTGCCCATGTGGCAATGTGGCCAAAGTTACATCTAATGGCCACCCTTGGACGTAACTAGAGTGGCCTATATTCATTTGAATCGAGAACAGACAAACAGAGAAACTTCCACAAATATGTATTAGATGATACGAGATGTCGACGGTGACTTTCGCTTTATTTCTTCGCAATTTTTAATGGTTTAATGATTTTTTATTTAATGAAAGTGGAGTTATTATTGTTCAAAAATTATTGATAGGTTTGACAGACTATCTGCTTTGAAATTACGAAGGTCCGAGCGTGAAATCGGCAAGTCCCAGACCTCGGACTTGCCCTATTTTCAGCTCCCTGATTTCCTATTCATAATTCGTTTGTTCCTTTTGACAACTTGAAAAAGTGATTCAAGAGTCTTATATAATGTGTTCAGAATAGCTTAGAATGCACCAAAATGCACTTTTTTTTGAAATTTTCCATGGGAGCATGCCCCCGGACCCCCCCCCCCTAGCATGGCAATCACCTTTAGTGCTCGCATTGCTCACTCCTCGGATTGCTCAACCACCAAAATATTTTTTACCACTTTGCTGACCTTTTTGGCCAGGAGAAACACTGGTAGCCATCCGGGTGGTAGTTGCCTGGGTGGTAGTTGTCCTAGGGGAGTAGTTGTCCGGGTGGTGGTTGTCCTAGGGGGGTAATTGTCCGGGTGGTAGCTGTCTGGGGGGTAGTTGTCTGGATACGTGTTCTAAGATGGACGTGCAGCGGGATGTCTATGTGATCTTGTGCAGGTGTTCTGGCGTGGCCTGATGCCGACCCTCGTGCGTGCATTCCCTGTCAACGCAGCCTGCCTTGCCGTTGTCAGCATTTTTCTGCGCCTGACTAGACGACCCAAGAATGACGATGAGGGGAACGGGGCGTGAGCGGTGGCGGAGTAACACTCGAGTGGACACCGGTGCGGCGTAGTTGTGTACGTGGTTTCCATGACATGTTTACCGATACGTCTGCAGTAGACGTGTTGCAATTTATATATATTGTACTTTATAGTTATTTTATGAAGTAAAATTTATTTGTTATACTTGTAAAAAATACGAGATTCAATAGAAGATATATTCCAATTTTGTACAATTGAGTTCTTCACTGTGCTTTTATTGGGGTGTTGGCATTAATTGTATATAATGCATTGCATGGTAGACATTTATCCTACGTATAATATATGTTGTCTAGTGTTTCTCTTTCCTCTATTTACAAAACCTTTTCTCCCTCCTCTGTCTATTCTGCTACATATGGCTTCTTTCCCTGGTCTCGATATTCTGTTCTTCTCTATGTTTTACCCTCTACATTCTACACTTCTTTACGACCATCCTTTGTATCCCTGTTTCCTCCTCCACTTTCTTCCTTCCTCTACCTTCTCCCCTCTTCATCAATCTACACCTCCCATTGACATTTTTCCAATTTTCTTCATCAATCTCCATGCACCTCCCTCTCTACCCTCGCTCTACCCCCGATTACATTCTATCTCAATATTGATTAGCATGATTCATTTCTCTACTTTAAAGATGCATTTCCACGTACATTTTTGTAACGAACCACTGTAAAAACGTAAGTAAATAACTCATTACACTTTAACTGAACGTTAGCTTCGAAAATAAAACTGTAAAAAATATGTATTCAGCCTAAATTTCCTCAACCAAACATCAACTCGAAAAACGAGTATTGCCGCGGTTCTGTATCATGGCGGCAAGAGTCGACGCAGGTAACGTAACCAGCACAGCTATAGATATCATATAACACGTGTTATATGATATCTATGAGCATAAGCAGCCTTCATGGCACCCGGCAGTTAGATGCGATATGATATGACTACTAGGCACTTAGGATATGACTACTAGGCACTTAAAAAAAAAAACCCTACCTAACCTAAACCCTAAACCTAACCTAAACCCTAACCCTAACCCTAAAAAAAAAAAAAAATAAAATTAAAGTGCTAGTAGTCGGTAGGTCATATTCGCCACTCTTAACTGCCGCGTTGCCGCTTGCACCACATTTCCAGCGCTTTAGCAGACACAGATGAGAAATGTTGTACCCAAACTTGGAATCTCGCACAATCTCGAAGAGGTGCCAGCGATTGTGCTGCCCAAACTGCCGATCCCCTAGTTTGCCTGACCAATCTCAAGATTGGCAAACGGGAGAAAACAGGTTGGTGATTCAACAAACGCTCATAGCGAGTGCTGTGGTGTGCCTGTGTGCAAACGCTAGCGCAAGAGATTTTATCTCATCATTAAATCTTATCCAATTATTTATTATTAATCATTCTAATATTTATACAAAGGTGCCAAACACATCTGAGGAAAGAAGTTATACTCGACCTTATTAGTTATGGGTATAACACTTTTGCAAATCCTAATAATCATATGTTTGCTGCAAGCTCGTTCTACCTCTGTTTGTCCCAATCTCGAAGACGGTTGCCCAAACCTGCCCAGGAGCGCCCTGAAATTCCAAGTTTGTCGCAAACGATTCCAAGTTTGCGCGCACAAAGAAACATAGCATGGTGTGTCACAACAATCGCCGCTGAGAGCGCGCGCCCCAAAATAAACGCTGTTGAAAACATCTACCCGCACGTTCCACTTTGTAGTCTACAAAGCTTTGACCGCTATTCCGGGGAGAAATATAATAATAATACCTATCCACACATATATAGGCCAAGTACAAATGCCGCAATGTTTAAAATAATTTATTTTTGCCTGATTTTATGTTTGCCGCTTGAAACTTCGAGGGTAGGCAACTTTAATTAACTACACACCGACCGCGCCAAACTCCACGACAGATGGCGCTCTCGCTACTGGCTCAGTATATCCTGAGTGTGGGAAGGGGGCGCTGCATGCAGTTTGCGACCGCGCCACCGAGTCACGTGATACGTGTGAAGAGCAAGACATCTGTTCTAGTAGAAGCAAGCATTCTTGTTTCCAACGGAGGAGCGTGTTATGTTACGCGAAGTTTATTTTAGATTACATTAGTCATTATATAAAAATTAATATATATCCATATATGTATATACGTATTTAGCACGTACACTCGACTACATGTGACTCGACGTTTACGAGTGAAGGCGTGTTCAATGATGTTGTTCTAACTTCTACTTGAACTTCTACGGCGTACATGCGTGTACAACAGGCACTTCCCCCGCTCCGCCAACTAACTTTCGTAAGTTATACGTAAAGCAGAGGAGATGAAAATAAACATGCTGTTAGACTTATACTACTCTTGGTAAAGCACTAACAACGCTTAGTTCTTGTCACGCGCCATGCGATATTATGTCACTCTGCGCACGGCGCGCGGTCACAAACACTTACTTGACCGCTTGTAGGCGTCTATGCTCCCTTGACTCTGTTGACCTCGCCTCGCTTTTAGTATTTCTGACTAACCCTAACCCTACCACCAAACTACACCCTAACCCTAACCCTATAGAATATATATACTAATTACTATAAATATACTCATATATTAGTCAAGAAATCAGCGCTACACAACGAGCGGCCGCGGTTCAACAGAAGTCAAGCGGACAGCTTAAGACCTTATCTTGCGGATTACTTGCAATGCTAAGCCCACAGTGATCCGGGTTAGACACTAAACCATTTTAGTCTGCATATAGTCCAGCTGAGAGGTCCTATTTCCCCCGAGCGTCCTACCTGCGGCGAACGTACCCTGGGTACGGGCCGGTATACCAGAACCCTGATACTATCTAATATGCCGGACCGTACCTCGTCTACTCCACTAACGAGTCTAGGGAGTCGCCTACGCCTACTCCCTTTCCCTTTCCCGAACCCTAACCTTAACCCTAACCCTAATCTTAACCCTAACCATATCAAATAGTGACCAGGGTACGTTTCGGTATACCGGACCATACCCCACCGGACCGTACCCAGGGTACGTTCCGGCAGTACCCTGGGGGACATAGACCCTATGAGCATTAGTCCACAGGACTAGTAAAAGAAAAAATGTACTATCCTTCCAAGAATCTACTATTTCAGCCGAAGGACTCTTACTAGGCGCAGAGCGACGAGCATTGTGATTTGCCAGGAAGTAGGTGGGGTAGGAGGGTGGAGCCCTCCTTCTGCTAGGGGTACAGGGGGTCTCTCCCAGGGTACAAGGGGTGTCCCCCAGAAATGTTTTGTAAAAGACATTCAATTGTATAAAATACATGTAACTTTGATATGGATCATAAGATTAAAATTTAAATTAAATAAAATTTAAATTCAAAAATAAAATTTCGGCCTTTGATGAGGAATCTGTGGATCCGTCACTTATCACAGGAAGGAATTTGGCCTTATTTATAGCTACAAACTTCCCGGCGCCTTGTATCGGCTATCGCCGTAATGAACCTCTGGCAGGCCTTGTCGGTGAGGTAAGTGCTGCCGACATCTAACCCCTTGGCCTTGTCAAGCAGGCACAGCTTGACGTAATCGGTGTAGGGCCTGCCGTTTTTTTTCCAATAGCATGTGCATTTCTAATGGGGTTCGCCATTTACTAATCGCTGGATATATGGCGCGCGTGCACTGTCTGGTATCACTGCTAAACAATGGCATCTAGTTAAGAAGGGAAAACCGTAAATGAATTGAAATCAGAGTTGCAAAGTAGAGGTGCAAAGACATATGGGAGGAAAGCTGATCTGCACGTACACGTACACTTGCGTGCGTGTGGACGTACACATGGGTGTGTGCGTGCGTGGGCATGTACACGTGCGTGCGTGTGCACGTACACGTGCGTGCGTGTGTGTGTACGTGCGTTTGCACATACACATGCCTGCGTGCGTGTGCATGTACATGTGCGTGCGTACGTGGGCACGTACACGTGGGTGCGTGTGCACGTACGTGCGTGGGCACGCACACGTGTGTGCGTGCGTGTGCAAACGCACGCATCCTTTTCGTCTTATCATAGACACGCTGGCCATCTAATTTCTTCTCCTGCGATTTACGTTTGGGAGGTGGAGGGCGAGCGCCGTCCAAATACTTCCACATAACAACCTTGATGTTAGTATTATACTATTGGATAAGGATGTACCTACTATTAGCTTCACTACTATTTGAATGGACTGAGCACTTCAAGTAACACACGCATGCGATGTGGTTGCGATGTAAATACCTCCCTATGAGAGCCTATAACTGATTAGTTGCGTCATTTCTA